CTAACTAGTCGTGGGTGGTAATTAATTTATAGATTCCCTGAAACACTGTTGGACTGCATCTGTAAATCTGCTTAGTAAATGGGTGGTAGGAATTTCGATCGTCGATGAAAAAAAAGACGTGTGGTTTAATCGCGTTTCGGAGTTAGCCTATATTAGCCAGAATATTCCAAGCGAAAATAGGTCGACAGCGCACCGTGTTGAGATGTTATATAACTGGAATACCTTCCACCAAGGGAACCCCATACTTCTCTGTTCTATATGATAAAAATGTAAATACCAACTCAAAAAATTAAGTAATAAGTTCTAGTGAAAAACATAACTTGTCAATTAAACGTCAAAAGAGAAAAGTCGTCCCTACCTAAAATCGCCAGAACAACGACTTCCTAGTCCTAAATATGGATTTATTCTAAGTGTTTTATTCTTAAGTACATTCTCAACAATAACCATTAATTTACAATGGTGTGATAGACTATCGTTAAAATACAATAGAGGTCTTATTGGGGTCTTACTTTTTATTGGATTTCATTGACCATAATGCGGGTTTTCAGATAAATTTGGACATTGTTTGCATGTTTTTGTTGAATTAAAAATAATTAAATAGATGTGAGATAAAAAAAATGGTCGTATAACATTGCGACTATTAAAGTAACGATAAAAAATAATTATACAGTTTTGATTCGGCGGGTTCGTTGGACAATGTAATTAATAATCAACGGGTCGTGGGTTCGATTCAATTATTATTTATTTAATATGTTTGCTCTTGAGTGGAAAATGTGATTAATAAATCGCTAATAGGACCATTACGGACCGGCGTTCACACACAAGTAATCGCGTCAGTTTCAGTCCGACTTTCAGTAAATTTATGATTGTATCTGGGATATTTCATTTTCTATCAAGTGAGATCATGGTTGTCTGTCCTATGTCATAAAAAAGGCACTTTGATCAAAGTAGTATTATCTACATCTCCGTATCTACAGACAGAGACCAACATGTGTCCGAAAATTTAATTATGAAACATAAATACTGTCTATAGTTAACGCGAGTAGTACCAATAGGGAGAGTCCCGTGACCAGGCTGCAAGGAAACGCGGGCCGAAGTAAAGGTCATTCATGGACTTAATATATCGCGTTTTAAACCGTTAAAGTGTTTTATTTAAATTATTAAAAACTTGTTAGACCCGATGAGAATTGAACTCACGATACATTGATTATTGACCATACCAACGAGCTCGTCAAAATTAGTTCTATTAAGCAAGCCCATGGCATTAAAATGTCATAAAAAATATACTTTGATCAAAGTTGTAGTACCGTAGTATCTGATTCTTTCCTGTTACAAGTAGATGAAAAGTCGAGATTTTCCTGTGTCGAAGAAAACGCGAGCGTGACTATAAATTACAAGACTCAGCTCGTATTTACGGATCTAAATATACATATTACGCGACAGGGCTCAAACAAACACCGCGCAAGACTTGACTTTCGGCGATCGTAACCCAGTTTGCATGACATAGATAATTCATTCATATTTTCGCTCAACGCCATATCGACATTTTCCCCTTTTTATGTAAAAGGAGGACAGACATGACTTGGGGTTCAAATTAATGGTAGGTGATATACCTATAGAATATCAGCAAGTTGCAGTGTAGACCTATTTTGATTTGGATATTCGGAAGTCCGGATTGAAACCGAAACGCGATTGAACTTTACGGCTTTTCCCCCTGGGGAGGGTGTTTTTTGCCCCGGCCGGAATTCCTATATTCCTACCATCCAGTTTCGAAAATTACACCCATTTGAACCTAAATACTGCCTAAGGTTTACAGAGTACACTTGAAATACAGCATGTTTTAGACAAATTATAAATTGAAAAATTTTTAACTTCGGCCCGACGTTTCGGGTGCTTCGTGGGCAAGGAGAAACATTAGGACCTGGTAGGGATTGACCACACTCATTCGCCTCATGAGCCCGTTTCTTTGTTTGTTTTGGGGATGTACTTTAATTAAACCGTGTGTAAACTGCGCTGATAGATTTCTTGATACGTAGTAAATAAAAACTAAAGGGTCATACTGTGCGGGGTTGCCACCCTTGCACGAGGGTGCGACTGTTGTAATTTTGGAGCATGTTTAATAGCAGATTTTAATGAATATGTTAGTAGCTATCTTAAGGCACTGTTCTGTTGCAACATGGATCAAGACGAACCTTTGTTTAAATTATAACTCTAGTTAACCAGACCGTACTTTTGCCTTAAGAAGCATTTCATCTTTTAAGATAGGTAACACCGTCGCGGATATTTATTAGATCACTTAAAGAATCATTCATTCAGATATAATTTTGGTTTCTTGAACCGTTATCGCAGCACAAGCAACGGAAGCCCTCAAAGAAGAATAATTTTTCTCGTTTTTTTTCTCACACATGTTGTCATGTCACATTTCCCTTTGTTTCTTGGCTTTTATTGGTCGCAGCTTGATATTTTATAGCTTAGTCTTCCTTGATCAATGGTCCAACCAATACGAAAATAAGTGTTCAATTCAAACCAGTATTTTCTTTCGTACCATACGGTTAGAAACAGGAAATAGTGTAAGTATTTTTAACTGCGACTTAATGTTTCGGTTCAGAGTCGTAGTTAAACCTAATTTAACTACTACATGTCGAGTTTTAAACAGTTAAAAATGTAATGTATTTCTTCCGACATAGTAATTAGAAAAGGCAATAAGCAAACCGAGTCTGTCAAACGCTTTCACAGCAGAAGTGGAACGCGATAAGTGTGCAAGTGTTCTCTTACGCATATAAAAGCTAAGTACATTTTATATACAATAAAATGCATTGATCAGTACTATAATAAGTTTTCCGACCTCCTCTTCGCCAAATGGTTAAATTTGTAGCATTGCGTTAAGTGTGGGAGGTTCGGGTTCGAATCCCCGGCGCACAATAGATAATTTTGGTCAAGTAGAGCACAGAAAACATCTATCAACATACACATAAATGTGTTCGTCCCATGCCCCACAAAACGGAATTCCCAATTCTTCGATATTGCCTTTATTCTGAACGAGAAAGCAATTGATATAAAGAACTTTTTCATAGTAACAATAATAACGTAGACGATTATAAAATTTATATTCATTTAAAAATAACATAGCCTATTAAATCTATGTCAGATCGGGCAAGTACATAAAAGTGAAAGTCTTCGATGTGCGGACGTCATGTGTCGTAATAAGCACGCCATCGGGCCCCTCTCTGTTTAGTTCATCGTACTTTTATGGTCTACAAAAAAGTCACGCAGATTGTGCAATTTCTTCTGCAGCATTTTTAAACAGAAACATGTATTATATAATACACCTATAATATACCTTATACACAATTAGGTACGATTATTAACTACGAAGTAATTAAGAAAAGTATATATTTTTTTACACTAGATTTGTATTTTTTTCCTCATTGGATAAACATACATAATTTTACATAATAAATAACCCTTTTAACCCCCTTAAAACCCCTTTTTTTTGATACAAACGTTTCTTTTTTTTTCGGTTTTTTTTTGGGTTGTTTTGGGGGAAAACCGGGGGTGGGTGTGGGGGGGGGGCCCTTTTTTTTTCTCCCCGTGACCTCGGTTGCTGCAGAGCATTGGAAACGTCGGGCCGTAGTTAAAGTAATTTTTAAATTTAACTAATATATTTCACGTTTTAAATCAGTAAAGGGTTTTATTTATATTTTTGATGTAATTTTTAAAGTTATTTTAGTATACTGTAAGCGGATGTAGGTTAACAATGTTATTGTCAGTTAAAAGACTACAACAGCAACGATGGGAACCTTGGAATGTGCAATAATGAAACCTGGTGATTTATTGCGACTTCCACTGCATTATCATAATTGAAATTGTACTTGATAAGGATAAATTGGTAAATCGCGGGTAGATTGTAGTAATGTATACTCAGATGCGGATTCAACACATAACGTAATGGTGGCAAATAAAAACGGTTCTAGTAGAAACTTAATTTAACAGTCAATTAACCATTTAATGAGTGACGATGGTAATTTACCTTAATATATTTAATAGTAGATACTATTCTACTATACAATGGTTTATTTGTAATCATTCCTTACACTGCTTATGAACTATCCTACTAGGTATTCTATTATCTTGTAACTACAAAAATAGTTCCTGTTTTATTCCCATACGTTTTAAATAAAAAAATCTATTGTTTACGGTCGTTGATCTTAGAAGATACCTAAGTAGTATTAAATACAAATGAATATAAAATATAGGATTTATTTTATTTTCTTTATAGGTATTTACTTATGTGACTTTACACGCTAATAAATTTTCCGTGAATCACGTCATGTTTTCCCAGTATATTTTCTGAATTGTTCACGTCGATAAAAGAATAGGTAATTTAAATATTACTGCAGGTAAGCATAATGTTTTGTTAGAACATTACCTAAGTTTGTTTTACTTATACTATAAAATGTGCTTCGAATATAAGTATAAAGTAAGATAAGATTTCTTGGATAAAAAGACTAGCGTGTCTTTTAAAAACAAAGTATTGTAACGTTAAAACTGCAAAGGTTTAAAAGTGTTGCTTATGTCAGTTATAGGTGGTTATGTTGTTTTGCGCGTTTCTAAACGAGTCGTACCGGTTTTAAAATGCTAAAGGCACCATAACAACGATCTGCATTTAATTTTATAAGGTTGCGCACACGCCGACTTGACCAAACCAACCGTGAAGTACCAACATAGCCTAACGTAAAACCTACTACGCATAAAAATTGAATAGTTTACCTTGCATGCAAGACAGAAAATCTTAAGCAGCGTAAACAATTAAAAATGGCGCCAAATGGTTTTATTTTTAATTATATTAAGTTTAAAAAACAATTAGTACAACATAATTATTTTGTTCTTAATATGTAATCATAAATGTAAACACCACACCTAAATATTATGTAAATAAAGTACAATTATTTAAAAACACAAACAAGTTTTAATGCTTAATAAAATAATGAATAACTTACTGTTTTTTACGAATAAGAAGCATAACAACACAGGCACAAATACAGCAATCTTGGCCATTGTAAAAAATATGAAATCACACGAGAACTTTTAAAATAGCGTCGATACACAATCGTCTGGACACAACCGCGGCCAGCGAAACACAGAATACAATCGCTTGCAGTGAATGTCGACCTCGTTCGCGCCTCGCCTTCTTAATGACATAAGAGCGGAATATTTTTAATCTATGGTGCAGGGGCTTTGGCGCGAAAATGTGTTTTAATTTTTACTCTGTTAGAGTAACTAAATTAATTGTATGTAATTGTATTGTATATAAAAATAATACAGTTGAAATGCTTCTTTTTTGATCAGTATACATGATTAACTTATTATTTCTCGGATGGTGATAAGAAAATGGCTAGATCCAAAATAGTGCATTAAAGATAAGTGAACCAAACTGTTTAATTACGGCAAAAGAGGTCAACCTTAATTTATTAATGACATTGCGTGTTGCCAACTATTCGTTTTATAGACTTTTCTCACCTAAATAGATGACCTAATTTCTTGAAAAAATTGTTCCGTATTTACATTATACAATCTCCAAATTTCAATAATTATCTGCATGATTTTTTTGTTACCGGTACGTATCTGAAAAAAATATTATGTTGGCGCTTACGCAAATATTTATATTATGAGAAATCGCATCCCTTCAAGGGATGTATATTACCGTCCTCTAAGATCCCCTACATTCTATAGGCTTACGTCCTTTTTTCAAAGGCTATTTTATGTATTTAAACAAATCGCAACCCGCTGGTCGAACCATCATCATTACCGAAAAATACATCGCTTATATTTGAGGTAGGTATTGTTACTTAAATCTTCCTAAAATTTTTTACGTTGTGCCTAAATATATAGGTACTAACATCGGCTTCTAGTTGTTTGACGTTTTTTCTAGATTTTGTAACAAACTTTTTGTGACTAAATTATTTGGACTATAATTTTATCCCTAAAAGCGTACACGAAGTTCCGTTTTGTTATTGTAACATGTGCGATCGCAACTTAACACGTGTGGTTACTCGTTATCCTTTCTGTTTATCATACTAAAATTAACATAATTTAAAAGAAAACATTTCCAAACGGATGTTTAAAGTACACAGCTAAGTTCAATGATTCAGATGATATCATAGATCTTTGTAAGATTCATGATCAATGGTCGCGTGTAGAAAAGTGGTTGAGAGGACGCGAAAATTTAAAGTAAAATTTTGAACTTTCTTTTATTCAATTGTTTGGTATTCATATTTTTATGTAGTTTAGTAACTGTTATTATAAGATCAAATGTTTAGCACACAATTATCATTTTATTATTGAAATTTTACGTTTTAACTAAAAAAATATTTCCAACAATTTGTTCACCATTTTTAGTACCTAAACAGCGTATAAAGCCTATTAAAAAGTCATAGATAATTATCATGATTAGTTTGTAAATAAATTTAGTTCCTGCATTAAAGTATCAGGAGAATGTTTCAAATGAAAATTTTATTCGTATGGATACTCTAATTATAAGCCAGCGGACATTTCTGTAGTCAAGAATTTTTACGCTTCAGAAATAGGTTTAGAATGGTTTAAGAATTCCTTTTAAAATTAGACAAAGGATTTAAATTCTAATGTTGCAATATGACCGGAATTGAAACACGGTAAGATGTTAACATTATTTTTATTCTTCTGATTCTATTTTACTATTTTATCGTAAAAGACGTTTAGGCCGTTTATTTTTGCAGACTAACTTAAGAGATAGACATACAGTATAACTTTTGAGAGTGACCGTTGTAATTTAAAATCATTTTACGAAGAATCCTTACATATATTTTTTTTATTTTCAAACCTTTTCGCAGCGAAAGCAACGGAGGTTCTAAAAGGTTCTGGTTCAGAGTATGAGAAAAATTGAGGAAATCTTCTCGTTTTCCCATACTTCTCTATCTTTCATATGAGCTATCTCATAAGTACTCATACTTATAAACGTAATGAAGTTTGACGCGAGTGTCAACAAGCGATTTAATTAAATATACAACGTGTAGGAAATCGCTTTATTTACGACATATTGAGACATTACTTTGCTTGACTTATAACACAATCAGTCAATATTTGAACGTTAGCTCTCGCATTAAATAACTAATTTGCGAACTGTTAGGACAAAGTGAATTTTGTTACAACCGGAGCAACGATTAACGCAATCAAAGCTATTGTGCTTTCTACAATTGTTGAAGCTGCGCTCGTGTTACATCTGTCTCCCTCACACTCCCTGCAGAAGATAAGGTCGACCATATCCGCGTGGTTTCCGTGGGCTCTTCTTATGTCTTCGCAGGAACCCCTCTCGGATGCACAGCCTCGAATGTACCACGGTCTGTGCATATCTAGTGAGAAAAGAACACTTTATCTTGGGTAGCAATTCATGGTCTTATATATTAACCAATACTAACAGTCATCTCGATCGGGACACCAGAAGAGATGCAAATTTAATTATTTTTTTTTTAATTTCGGTATCAGAGCAGGCAAATTACTTACGTCTATACTTCTCAGCATATGTTATACATTTCCCCCTTTTATTAGGATCTAAAGTGAAAGGGCATAATTTCGAAGGTGTGTCTTCGTGGACTTTTGGACAATCGGTGCAAACGTGACATTCTACCAGCAAAGCAGCTGGCGTAGGTAGGGGACCAGGTCTATACTGGAAACCGCCTCCACCCGCCACGGCATGAGCAACAGCGCCCATTCTTTGGGAGTCGGTTTTTTCCGCGTCATTACTTTCATTTGATGTCTGAGATACTCCTGAATTTTCAGCCTGAACTCCTGAAACAAAAGAACTCGTTAGTTGTTTCATTAATAATCAAGATCACAACACTGTAATTTCGCAAAAGAAAAAATGGAACCCTGTCAGGGCTTCATATATTTTTGTTTAATAAATAAATAAATAAAACCTAAATACTGTCTATAGTTTACGCGAGTAGTAAACATTTTTAATAAAACAATTGTACGGTTTAAAAGGCGATATATTAGTTAAACTTATTTCAAACGAACTTGTTGATGAGAATCTCGGTCTCGACCACGGCTGCTGCAAAGCATCCGAAACGTCGGGCCGAAGTTAAAAATCATTTTCAAATAAGTTTAACTTTAAATAAAAATTTGAAAATATTTTTTTTTCATATTCCTTGTTTTCTATTTAATAAAGAGCCAGGGCAGATAGATCAGTCAGTATCTTTGATCGAACGTCTTTTTCGTTTTAAACTGTCTCCAACAGAAATAATATAATATGATATTTTCTTGGGTTTATCATTCCTAACAGGATCATGTTTTAGAATTAAATTCTAACCTAGAGTTTAAAAATGCACTTACCTGGAGAGGCAGTTGTTTCGAAGCAAGTTAGAAATCCAAAAGCGGTCCATGTTGTTACCAAGAAGAGTGCGACTCTCGCCATTTTGAAAACCCAAATATATTTGAGCAGAAACTGCATTTATATAAGCTTGTAACAATGTTATCGAATTCGATACGCTCGGAGGGTCTCAAGCTATGCTTTTGAAGAGTTAATTGTTTTTCCTTCATATTGCATGAAAACGTACACATGTACAATATTAGTAATTACTAATGTAACAGAATTTCTTACTTGAAATTTTATTATAAGTAAGAAATTAATTAATCCTAATAAATTTATAGAAGGTTTACATCAATGGCGATATTAAAAATGTGTATGTCTGAATTCGAAATTCGAAATAAACTTAAATACTGGCTGTAGTTTACGCGAGTAGAACACATTTAAATAAAACACTTTAACGGTTTAAAACCCGATATATTTTAGTAACACTTATTTTCAAATAAGATAAAATGTTTTATTTCAGTCAATTAATCATTTATTCAATTAAAAATAAGCAATCAATGATTTATTTTCTTAATCGCAATGTCTACTTAAAAATGTAATACTTAAAATTAGAATAAATTAAATTTACAGTTGTTATAATTATTATTTCTATCTGTTTTTCAAGTATTTGTGAGGTAATAAATAAGCATTCAATAAGATAAGCAATGGAGTGATTTGTGAATACGTACCTACATAATATTTTTTTTTTAAGTGTATAGACTTCGTCAGATTTCAATTTACAGTTAATATTTTTAGTAAACATGAAACTTCAGTGAAAGCTGACGTGAAGATTTTCCTAAAATTTTTGTCAAAATTTATCTTTAGTTACGGTGAAAAATAGACGAAACCTTTAACACAGCAGTAACGAAAAAGTTAAGACGATCATGACGAAAACTGAACCAATACTATTAGCTGAGTTACACAAATTACTATCACAGACAAAACATTTACTCGTGTTTCCGCTAAATTTAGTATCTAATAGAGAATTGCAGTGTTTTTGAGGAGTCATATCCTGGCCAAACGAACAACCACGAACCACAATTGTCCTGTTCTTTTCTGAAACAAAATGTTCGTATTATAAGTATTATTTTAAAAAAATGTTTTTCTTTTTCATTGAAAAGAGAGTTACCTTGAAACGCGGTTACGACGCAGCGGGGTTTTGTGGTGTCACTATTTTTGACTGCTCTTCTGAACCTGTAACGTGGATCATAGTATTTTCCCTCATCCACCATCTGACGAGAAAAAGATACTATTATTTTGTATTTCTTGTTTACTAAAAATATCTAGTGAAGTTACTAGTAGTAGTAGTAGTAACCTTACGATTGAAAATGCCTTACCTGAACATTCGGAACATCATTGATGTTTTCACTAGCAAAATTTTCTTCTGTAACCGTTTCAAAATCTGTTTCAGTCGAGACTGATGTTGAATCGTATATTTGAGTTGATGTTTCGATATAAGACGGAATAGTTGTTTCAAGATTTTCTTTTGATGTAGTTGTTGAGGTAGCTGCAGGTTCAGTACTATCTGATCGTAACGAATTTGTGAAGTTATTATTATATGTAGTGCTTTCAGAATCTTCAGTTGGTTGATGGGTAATTGTTACAGACGGCTCAGTTGGTACAAAACTCGTTCTATCACTATTTAGTGTCGTTGTCACCCTGTTACTTGTAGATGAAGTGGGATTAACATCTTTATTAAGAGAGTCAGTGCTTTGATTAGAGATCGTGGTCGTCACTGTACTTTGACTATCATTATAAGTCGTACTAGTTTTAGGCTCATTTGCTGTTGAAGACTCTACGTCATTTTGTGTTGATGTTTCTGTTTGCAACGTTCCATCTTGATTAGATAAAGTAGAAGTATCATATCTCGTAGACTGCGCTGTATCTGTTGTCTCATAAGAGAATGTTGTGCCTTTTTCTGCAGCTCCTGCACTTGTTGTAGAATTTGTGTCGGGCAAATTGGTCAAACGTGAGTCTTCATCAAGGGCACTGCTACCTGCCGTTGTGCCTAAATCATCCTTAGTTTTAACCGTACTAAACTCTCGTTCTGTAGTAACGTAACTACTACTGTCAGTAGTGGTTGTATCTCTAGTCGCAGAACTTAAAGTAGATCGTGTTATATCTAGATTTGTACGGGATGTTGTCAGATCAGATTCGAAAGTACATGCAGTCTCATCTGTAGAAAATGTTGTGTCTGTAGAAGTGATAGGATCAGAAATAGTGGTGCTAGTTAATGTTTCGTCGGTTGTCTTTAATTCTTCTCTTATAGTAGTGGTATCAGGCAAACCAGGAGTTCCTTGTTCTGTTTGATGGACATCTTTACATGTGGTCTTTGTATTTTCATAATTGTGTTCGCAATCAGTACACACATAACACTGCAGGTCCGCTGGAGTTGTTAAAAAATGACTATAGTTATTAATAAATTAAAAAAAAAATGAATTACATAATTTTATTTTATTTTATCAAAGGACTGAAGGGTTTGAAGTACTTACAATCACAATTTACATAATTATAATTGTATAGAGCGATTAACACATACAAATCAAAAACTCTCCGTAATAATTTAACCATATTGAATTTTGTTATTTAATCATTGGTCCCAGACATTTAATTGTATAATAAGATTAATATTTCCTTAATAACCTCATTTAAATAGGATTTACTAAACTAAAACTTCTGTATAAAGTGTTCTCGATTCAAAGTTTTAAACTGGAATGATAGGAAGTAGTTTGTCTTTCAACAATTAAATAGCTTGTCTTATCAAGGAAAAGTTGAAGACAAATTTATATTACTTTACGAGTGCATTATACGACTTTTTGTGAATTTAATCTAGGATCTTTGATACAAAGGATTTGATTTGATTAAATTGTTTAAAATAGTAGTTTTTTAATATTTTTATTTCTTATGTAGTTTTCATATTATATTGCAGCTTTCAATGTCATTATTGAAAAAAGTCTTTCCCTCAGAGGACGATTGTCCGTTGTTCGCTTTGATTTTTTATATCCCTAGCACATATTTAAGGTCAATATTTTCTAGGCAAAAATACCAACACCTATTGTAAATGGAACCCGCGACCCGTTTCTTTCTATACATGGTTATCGCTGGACCAACGTCTAGTAATTTTATATTTATTAGTTGTTTATTTATTATTAGTTATTAAGTGTTTACTTGTGTTTATTACGTAATTTATCTAAATATTTCTATGATATACAAATGCAACGCCCTTCAACTGAATTGCACTTTCATTTTCCTATCGCTTATTCATTATTGACATTATCTTTCGTAAGTATACGAGCATTTACGAGATTATTTAGATAAGATTTATTCGTATGACTATCGATATTAAGGAGGGAAACAACCGTACAAGAGTAATCCTTACATTTGTCAGAGTTAACACGAAATTATGCAATTCGCTTAGGGGATTTCCCTTAGGTTTCCTTTATTCGTCTAGGTCATTGTTTTTTTTACGAAAAGTTAAACTAACCATGTTTTTTATATTTCTCGACAGTTGTCAAGTATATTAATTATAAACTTTTCCAAAATAATTTGCGACTAACTCCTTTTCGTTTGTCATATGAGCTAAAAAGTAATTAACATAATTTAAAGGCTATTTTAAGACTAAATACAAAATAGTAAAATACGGGATTTGGGGCGAACACATTTTTGTGTCCGTTTCGCTGATCCGCTCTTTAACAGTCTGAGTTGATCAGACTTCTGTGCCCTGACCGACCGAAACAATTGTTTGTTTCCTATACTAAGCAATACGTTTAACTATTTGGTTACAAAGGCAGTCATAAAAATAAGTACTAATATACTAATAGCCAATCTTTGGAATTACATGCACAAATGGATCAAATTCGTCGAAAGGGCAAAAGTGTTCGACATGGTATAGCAGCCGCAGAAATGGCTAGGTGTATGTCTACTTGCTATAGGAATAATGTAAAATTAAAAAAAAATCTTTATCCAAATGTGTCATCACATAATTGTTTGTATTGAGTCAGTTGGGTTAAAATGTGATACATACCAGCTGCGCTAACAGCGAATAATACAATAATGTATACGCGATCCATTTCCACTGTCATGTGCAACTGCCACTAACTACTTTCTATGCCACAAGAGCCAATAAAACTGCGTATTTAAATACTTTTATATAGGGAGTGTTATAAATAAGTTACAGTGTTTCAGACATGACAACTGAAGAACAAATGAGGCTCGTTAGCAAACGATTTTCATGGTTTCTGATTCAACCTTTAAGCATGATTAAATAATTCGCAAAAACTAGTTACCTCTAAATCATAATCTATTTCCGTCCTAGAATATACTTTAGTTTATAATTATTGTAGGTCCCCCCTTAAAATGTCTAATTTGAAAAAATATGCTATAGTTAACCTTCAGTCAGGCTTCTGACGTAGCAATTTAAGGCTAATAGTCGGGTCGTGCGTTTGATCTCTGACTGGTCCAACATTTTCTAATTAATTTATAATTTTTCTGAAACTGTGGTAGGAATATCGAAATGCCGTCCGGGTCACGCAGCACTAGAAGCAAAAATCCGGTTCGGTTTTAGTCTGTGGATTTCCGAATATCGAAATTGTCTGAAATAATAAAAAAAAACTATAATCATTATGTGCGGTTTTTTTATACATACATCATTTAAGTATCTTTATATGTGCTACGATAATAATTTGTACATCCTTATTTAATCTCTTAACTATCTCAAAATGTCAAAAAGGTTACAATTTCTTATGTTACAAGCGGGCTTATTGGTCAGAATATAGAATTGTGACAATTTAAAACATATTAAATTAAGAAACAAACCATCCTCTAAGTAATAAAGGTCCACTTCTACTATCGCAAGATAAAAATTTCTTCCAATAGATAATTATATTATGCACTTAAATTGTCATTATTGTCGCAATGAAGGGCTTTGCAAATAACTAAAGACTTTGATAGTTTATACAAGAAGTTTCACTTTGAACATTTTACCAATTGCAATTTTTTGCAAAACGGAAATAGAAATATCATTTAACTTTGTTTTTATCAACATTTGTCATGGACATTAAACAAAATTTATGAGGGTTCATACATACCTAGACATATTTATTTTTTTGGCAATAGGTATCCAATTTAATATATTTATTAAACAGTTGGATTAACCTGTACGGAGTTTATTTATTTGAGTCAAAATTAGAAATTGAAATTTAAGCACCTTCCCTTTGTCAGATTGATGTGAAATTTGATACAGACATTTAATTTTGATGACAAATTTGATGATAATAAAATCAATAACATTATAAATCCTTACAAAATGGCGGATTAAATATTTTTCCTTAACCCTCTCAATATGGGTATCAAATGAAAGGGCTACACTAGTGAAACACGATGATTATGACAAAATTTAAGAAAAATTTAGTTTTCAGTGCACAAAAAAAAAAAATTGTTTAACTCAAAAGTTTTTTCAGTTGATACTTGTTGTCATACATTATCAAAGTCATGACAGGCGCGAGAAAGAAGAAAAAGATAGTTTATAAGAAGTCAGGAAAATCAGTTGTCAAACTTCTTCTCTTGATGTAACATCGCTTGGAATTAGATCAAAACTTCTTAGGTATTACTTTAGCAGTAACTCTTTAATAAAACACGTATACAACAATAAACTATAATATATTACAAAATATAATACATAATTGCGTTAACCTTACATCAGTAATGTGTAACAAAATGAAACAGTACATATAAATAATACAAAATCTACCTTTAAAGTAACAATTAAATAAATATAACTTACAATACCGATTCAACAAGCAAATACGATGGACGGTCCACAAAATTGAAATGCAACGCGATTAATTGAATATAAATTCAATATTGGCACTCTTGGTGCTCCTGTGATCCCAGTAAGCGTAAGCATACAGAATTGCTTGCTGATTGTACATGGCTATTACTGTTTAGTGTATAAGTAAGCAGCAATTACTGCTATGATGGCCAAAGGAGCTGAAGCAGCGATGGAACCAGCGCCGTTGCAGCGGTCTTTGTCGCATACGCTGCAGTGTTTGATTTGCTTGGTGGCGTCATTTGGTGCTAATCTTGCAGCGTTTTCAAGGAGGCGGCAGGTCTGGTCTAAGTCGGTGGGGTTCGCGTCGAGGCATGTGCGGACTGTTGCTCCGTTCTCTGGAACATGCATATATCATGATTTACAAACCTGCATATGCATGCATCGACACCATTAAGGAGCATAAATATTGATTATGCAATCTGGTAAGGTCAAAGTCGGATTCACTATTGGGGCGTCACTGATTTCGGCGTTGTGCCTACTGCCATACAAGAAAACCTGAGTGATTTCCCTTACAATACATATATTTTACCATTATACTATTTTTAGATCGTTTAAAGAGAAATTATATTTTTAAACATTATTTTAGGGTATCCTGAGCCGTTTCCGTAGCGCCCGCAACGGAAAGCCTCAAAGATGAATACATTTCCCCATTATTTTCACATTTTTCCCTGGTTTTGTCAGATCGAGGGATGGTTTAGCCTAAAGCCTTCCTCACTAAATGCCCTTACCGACACAAAAATATTTTTTTAATAGAACCAGTAGTTCCTGAGATCAGCGCGTTCAAACAAACTAACTAACTCTTCAGCTTATATTAGTATAGATGGTATGAAATCTACTTACGGAAGACAAATTTGTGGCAATAACGTGGAGCACCAGTAACGCCCTCTATCAACTCCCGAGGTAAGACGGAGCTCAAGTATGCACGGTTGTAGTTTATTGAATCTTGCGTTCTGCATTCCTGAAAATTTAAAAGCATACTTAGTATTATGTTACCATTAGTATCGGTTATTATTTTTATACAATTTGTTGAAGAACAATTTGCACTATATTAGCGCAAAGAGAAATTAGATTTGAATATTAAAGTTGTGCATTTTTGTTATTTTGGGGGAAACATTTAAATAAATCACTTTTAAAACGCGATATATGTTATTAAAACTTATTTGAAAATTATTTTTAACTACGGCCCAACATTTCCATCTTTAGCCTCCCCTGACCACGGCTGCTGCAAAACAGCTGCGAGACAGTGTTTTATGATTATATGAATTGCTTTAATTATCACTATAAAGTTACTATTATTTGTGTGTTTGAATACAATATTCTCTTATTCACTATTGGACAAACATGATAATATAGCGTCTACTTTCCCTCTGTCTTATGAACTTTCTTTCAGGTTCTGGGTTCTGGCGCGAGTTTAACATTTTTACACTACAACAGTTACAATTTATTTTTAATTACAGAATCAAACCCCCCCCCCCCCCGTGACCATAGGTAATATAAATTGTAAATAAGTTAACTGATATATTTCGCGTTCAACCGTTAATAAGTGTTTTATTAAAATTTTTACTACTCGCGTAAACTACTTATTTATTAATTATTCGTAAAGCATTTTAAGTAGTTAATGCGAATTAATTGTATAATCCATGCCTCTATTCATAGTCGAGTATGCCAAATCAATAATCAGTAGATTAGAGGCATGGATTAACCGAACTATATAATTCTACAACCAATTAATAAATACAGAGCCCTCTTGTGGTTACAAGACATAAGTAAGAATATTTACAGTAAAATATATTCCAAAATTCATTGTTTCATATCTAAAACTTTTTCAAGAGCGTGCCAACAGATATTAATAGTCTGTTTGTAAACATTATGAAATAATAATTAAGGCTTTAAACTTTTTGGCGAGCGTCCAACATCGGTCTGCCATGAATTCTTCGAAAACCATGACATGATCTATGGGATTCAACTAAATACGTCTTATAAGCTAAGATTTTCGCTATAGGAAAATACTTTAAAAACAACTAAGTTAAGCACACAAATACATCTGTGTACATTAATTACTACACCAAATACCTATCAGTTCTTGGGTGACGAACCCTTTTGTGTCGAATGTTATGTCATAAAAAACACTTTTCGATTACATAATATATATAGCCATGGTTATTATCAATAAGATCCTTTTATTTTTTTTTGTAATACAGAGCAGCAAGGGTGGTACTGTTCACTTGATGGTAGCTGAATTACCCCAGCTATTTAACATCTAAACAAGATGCACTGTCGTCTTATTCTGGCTTTAGATATATAAATTGATAAGAAAATCGATGGATCCAGTGGGCGTCGAACTCACGACCCCTACTATGTACATCAGTACTTACAACAATAGTTCTTCCTCCGAAGGGGTCCTGGCATGTTGGATCAGACTGCGAATTACATTGGAAGCACTCCATGCACGATCCTGAAATCACAAAATATACAATGTAGACCTCTCAAGAGCTTAAGGTGATCTTATAATAAATATTCTGACAAGCAATCAGCAACACAGCTGAGACTGGTAACGATTGCCATTTCTTATCTATTTATGATTCAATTCAAAGGTTGCCTGGAAGAAATCGCCATAGGCGATAAGGCCGCATTTGCACGAACATGTTTTATTTTGAATATAATTTAAGGGTTATTTTGTGCAATAACGAATTTTATTATTATCATTTATCTATTATTTACGCAATTTAGTTAGGTAATGATAGGAAATAAAAAGTTTTGAATTTGAATAAAATAATAAACCCGTTTATTATAGTAGTAGATGGGGTAGTTTTGTACAAATGATAAAACGGCCGAACAACGGAAGCGCGCGCTGACAGTCGCTTTTGGGCGCCGCTGCTCAATAGGAGTATAAGATTAACGCTCGCGTGTGTAGAAAGATGTCTAAAAGGTGTCATTAAAATTTCCGCGAGTCCAATGCGTTTATTAAGAGTAATACATAATCGTAAATTCAGTGTGCACATGTCACAACGTAACATACGTTAATTCCCGACCCCCTTTTGTTTCTTAATATAATTGTATTTCCTCTAATATGGGCCTTGAACTCAGTTACGAGATCTTTCCACCTTACTAACAGCCTGTTAGCGAAGAATATTTGTTAATTCAAATTGCCGTGGCGGGGCAAAGTTGTATTTCCTTGTAATGTGTAACTACTCTGCTAATTGAGACATGCAAGGCAAGCATTTGTAAGCATTAATTGTACAAGTCGTGTTAGTCACCAACACGGTTACGCAAATTAGATTACTTGACTCACTGGGCACAAGACTTATTGAAGTGGACATTGGTCATTGAGCCTAAGTCTTAAACAGGGTAATCGTTTTGACCCGACAATAAGTAATATGTAGGTACGTGGACGTCCTCTCCTCGCAAACACCTATACTAATACTAGCTGTGTCAGCGAATTCCGAGTAGAATAGTTACTTTTTTTACAAACACAAATGATTTATCTTTAAATTATCTAAAAAATATCCTGTGACCTATCTTTAATTTCAACGATCAATTTGCAACAAAGGAACGCGAACAACGTCGTCGGTAATAACTTAAATTTATATACCTGAAGAGCGTTTGTTTAAACGCGCTATCTCGGAAACTACTAGTTCGAATTAAAATGCTTGTGTTGGTTACAATATTTATCAAGGAGTTTTAGAGTTTAGTCGCTAATAAGCGGAGAAACAGTGGGAAATGTAAAAAAGGGGAAAATTATTCATCTATGTGAGCTTTGAAAGAATGATTCTTCCATAAAGTATTTTAAAAAATGTCCGCAACGATATATGTCTATATGTTAAGATTAATTTGAATGGACGACGAGACGCGGACGACGTCGTGGGTAACAGCTATAGTTTATAAATCAAAGGGAGCAAAAGGCCAAAGCATACGATGCACAAAACAAATAACTATTCCTTGTAGACGAAGTCACAGGCACAGCTAGTTTGATATAAAACCCCGACTTAGGAGAAAAGTCAATACGTTTTTTAGCTATGTTCTTTAAATTTAAAATTAAAAAAATATGGGAACTAAGGTTGTCGCTAATTTTATTTTATACAGCTGTGGTCCTTATAATTATTATCGTACAGTAAATATTGACTGTACGATAAATTTAAAAAAAAAATTGTTTTATAATGTCATAAGAAAATTAAAATGTCTATATTCCTTTAGCATTAGTAAAAATCAAAAAAGTATTTTTGAGCTTAGAAGGTGTGTCGTCGATGACATAATCTTCAAATTCGTGTCAAGTTGTTAATTTGACCTCGCGAGAGCCATAACAAGACGTAAGAACAAGTGCGGCTATGGTACACTTGTATCTTCTACTAGCTAGAAGTTAAAATAAATTAAACATTATTTATTAGTTAACTTCGCGTAGTAGTAACAATGTATGGTTGATAACCGCGTCTTGCGTTCCCTCCTCACCGGATCCAACATGTTTCTGATCAACTTATAATTTAAATAAAACACTTTAACGGTTTAAAACGCGATATATTAGTTAAACTTATTTGAAAATGATTTTTAACTTCGGCCCGACGTTTCGGATGCTTTGCAGCGGCCGTGGAGGAGTCATCATTTGGGATCCTTAAGTCTAATAGACGGGTTTTAAACCGTTAGAGTGTTTATTTAAATGTGTAAGATGGGCATCGCGTAAACTATACATTTACTTTTTGGCTAATACACTTCGCGTTTGAACACCGTTAAAGTCACTCGGATCAGTATTATTGCGTGAAAAAAATTTGGGAATTTCGTCCGGGCACGAACCACCAATCACAAAAAGCCGTCAAGCTTAATCGCATTTCGATTTCAGTCTGGAGATTTCCGAAAATACAAAACCCAAATAGGTCGACAACATATCTTGATTAGATGTTATAAGGCTTGTCTGTTCTCGTCATCCATAAAAAAACTAATATGTTTCGTACTACAGGTAAGTATACTACAGACTTCGTAATAGTTTTTTATTACCGCAGCCGCAGCCACGCGTAAAAACTAGTAATATAAAGTTTTGTTAGTCTTTTATGAACGCAGCGCTATTTTGAAAGGAAAAACTTTCTCGTCTAGTTTATGTTGGGTTTTCCCTATGTTTAGACCTCTGTAGCTAAATGGTTAAACGTGTTGCCTAGCTTGCGTTGAGCGCGAGAGGTCCTGGGTACGAAGCCCGGGTCGATCGAGTGGTTGCGGAGACTGCAAGTCTTGCTTAAACAAACTCTGTTGAAGAACTGATCAAACGAACAGAGAAATATGTTCGCCCCATACCCCCGGGGTGCGGGATTCACTGTCTACGTTTAGACTAAATAATCCGAATCGTACCGTTGGCGATGATGTCACCCAGGCCATTTATATATTTAGGTCGTGATCGGACATGTCACCATCCATTATAAACTCTAAAACATATTGCAAACTACGCGAACAATAAATGCATACTAATCGATAGCATTTCACAACATGTTGAGCAGTTATTTTTATTGGATACTGTAGCTTTACGCGAGTATTTTAATAAAACACTTTTAACGGTTTTAAGCGCGACATATATCGGTTATTCCCCTGTGACAACAGGCGCTGTAAAGCAACGTCGAGCTGTAGTTAAAATAATTTGTAAAACCAAAACATTACGGGTTTTAAACCGTTAAAAGTGTGCTATAAATTAATTTAAAGTTTTATAATTGCTAACTTGGCTAACGGTATTATTGGGACGTCGTACTTATTAGTTATTACAATAACAGCGTATTAACAAAGGTAAGGAGGTAGTTTTAAAAAATGTTTGATTTGAATTCGCAGGTTTAACTAGTCGGTTATATTTGTGTTGTGGTCTTTCTTCAAGTTAGAAAATAATACACTATACGCAACTTAATCATAAAAACTTTTTCATGGTATTTCGCATAATGGCTACACTTAATCTTCCAAGGCTACATTAAGCCTAAGTTATGAGGTAGAAATTTACTGGTTTTTTCATAGATTTTTTGGCTTCCGTCCAAAAGCTGATATCGTAAGGACATGCGATCAAAACAAGCTCGCAAAACAGCGGAAGTTTTGTTTTCTACGCATTTTCGTATATAGATTGGATCTTTAATACATCGTTTGATAAGAGCATTTTCCTTGTTCAATATAAATATATAATATACTAGCTATAGCTATAGCGACTTCGTTGGCGTTGAATAGTTTGGGCATCATATTTGTTTTTGTCTATAGTTTACGCGAGTAGTACACATTTAAATAAAACACTTTAACGGTTTAAAACGCGATATATTAGTTAAACTTGTTTGAAAATGATTTTTAACTTCAGCCCGACGTTTCGGATGCTTTGCAGAAGTTAAAAATTATTTTCAAATAAGTTTAACTAATATATTGCGTTTTAAACTGTTAAAGTGTTTTATTTAAATATTTGTAATATTAATAGTTTATAATATTAAATAGTTGTAAAATGTTTTTGTAAACTCCCTCCTCATCTTTCTAAGTTATAGCTGTTAAACTTGATGTCGTCCGCGTTTCGTCGTTATTGTAAGTTAATCATAAAAGTGGAATCATTCTTTCATTCATATTTTTTGGGTATCTTGAACCGTTTACGCAGTGCACGCAACGGAATCTCTCAAAGATTTTTCCTACATTTGCCAACGTTTCTTCTTTTCTTTTAGTCGCTCTATACTCTAACCATCACAAAAATATTTTTCAATCAGTAGTTCCTGAAATTAGTGCGTTCTGAAAAACAAACACTTCAGTAATATTAGTATGCATTATTTTTAGTGTATTTGGCATGAAAATTCGCTTTATATAATTACTTAAACTAAACTGAAACCTTTGAAGCAATGAAACTAGTTAAAAAAGTAATTATTTCGTATAATCAATAGTGAATCATGTTTTTATGTACGAGTAGCTTCCTCTCCTGTGTAGTTCGTGAGTTCATCATTAACGACGTTGCTCACCTTGACGAAACAATTGTAATACCATTGTCATAAGGAAAACATTTGTACTATGCTTTTTATCATTCTCATGGAATAATACCATGAGCTACGCCCAAACACGCAAAAACACGACACGATGAATACAATAACGCCAAAAGTTCTTGAGTAACTTTTGTTTAGAGCTCCGAAATAGTTGTAACTTTTTTAATACTTCCGTCTTGGGTGTTCCGTTGTCGGTAATAGGTAATGTTGATGGCAACAGACAAACATGGTAAAATACCCCCCCCCCCCCCCATTTAACATCCCGATTTTCAGTCGAACTAGTTTTTTTTTAATTTATAAATATATTTCAGTAAATTATAAAAAAAATGTTGCGCCCGTTGAAGATCGAATCCACTACTCCTTGATAACCATAGATTGATATCATAAGTGTGTAAGAAAAAAACATTTTTTAACGGCTTAAAGCAAAATATGTATATTAGTTAAGCTTATTTTTAGACTTTAAAGTAGTAAACAACATAAAATTACTGCAGTATATTTGAGTTTAATTGATTTTTTAAAATATTAAGAGAAAAATAACAGTTAGATTAAAGTTGGATATGCATTTTAAGATAATTAGTACTTTATAATTGCCACAAAGTAGCACTTTTGAGTAAGTTTAGAGTCAAAACAAAGTATGAAATTAGAACGACGGTGTAAAATGTAATAATTGTGGCGTGGTGACTACATATACAAATAGTTTTTACAAATAGTGGCCTCTGGGTTAACAAAGCTCGAAAGTACGCGAGCAGTATATCTAAATTAAACACTTTTGACGGGTTTCAACGCGAAATATATTAGGTTATTTATTGAAAATTGATTGAAACTACTGACCGTACTTTTGCACCGTAGTAAAATAAATTGTAAATAACTTAAATAAAACACTTTAATGGTTTAAAACGCGATATATATTATTTAACCTTTTTTGAAAATTATGTGGGGCCGTAGTTAAAATAAGTTTAACTAATATATATCGCGTTTTAAACCGTTAAAGTGTTTTAATTTCAATGTGTACTACTTGCGTAAACTAGTTTTTAATTATAAATAAGTTAACAAAATATTCCACGTTTTAAGCCGTTAAAAGTGTGTTAGTTAAAGGTTAAAAGGGTCAATATGGTTTTAACACATAATTTAGCGATTTTTATTTTCGAACTTCGCTATAGATTAGTAGCTGATAACTCGCTGGTAACTCCTATTTTCAATCCAGCCTAAGAATATATAGTTCAAGGCAAGATGGAATTCAATTACTCATGTCGTTTGCGTGCTAAAGTAGGATACTAGGCAGGCATAATGTCTAGACAATTAGATGGAAAGCGGACGCATCTTTTTATTTTCTGGTACCGTCAGCAAAAGCAGATCGGCAAACGTTGTTTTATTGTTTGCGAGATTAATTTTATTATCTTGATACAATTCTAACAAATAATAATGCATTAATTTCGATAGAATCTCTTAGCATTTACTTAATAGAATGTTAGAGCGAAATAAATGTAATTGCAATAAAATAATTAAATTAAATTTAAAGAAAAAAGCTGCCAAAAGGGTCTTGCGTCAGCGTAAGTTGCAGCACAGTTATTCTACAACACTGATTTTCAGCAAACCCCTCATTTAGATCATACATCTAGGCCCCAAGGTTATCTGCAGTATCTGCCAAACTAATCACTAAGTGCAAGGTACAGTCTTTGTGCAATGGTCTTTTGAATATAACCAGTATCTCATATTGTCCCCATTTAGCACCCTAATTTGGCAGCCACGGCTCTCTCAATCTCTTTTATTACACACTCATATTGTTTGTAGGAAATTTGGTTTTACGATGTCATCTGTAAAATTCCTTTTGAACCGAACTGCACTTTGTTACATTGTATTCTCGTTTCAGGGTTTTACTGAGACCTATTGTTACGTAACCTTTCTTCAAAAGGATACCGATATGGCGTTTGCTTTTACAAACAACTATGTTTTAATAATAATATACTTCATTGCACAAATATATAAATATAACTAAAACTTAAATACTGTCTATAGTTTACGCGAGTAGTACACATTGAAATAAAACACCCCGTCCGTCTCCCCGTGACCACGGCTACAAAGCATCCGAAACGTCGGGCCGAAGTTAATAATCATTTTTCAAATAAGTCTAACTAATATATCGCGTTTTAAACCGTTAAAGTGTTTTATTTAAATAGATAAAACTTATTTAAATTTAAAATTTATCGCCTATAGCAATTTCTTCCAGACAACGTTTGTATGCAGAAAAGAGTAACAAAGGAACAGATAAAAAGTAAAACTTTGTTAATAAAAGTTAATTAGGTTTATATGGTAAAAAACATCTCGTATTTTTTTAAAGAAGTATTACTGAAAACCTCACTCAAGGTTCTTAATATTTTGTTTGTGGACGAATTAAACTAAATAAAGTAAATGAATACAAAACACATCACAAGCAATGACTTACCTTGATTCTTTTACTTCTTATAAAAAATAAGTTAACGAATATAATTAACGATTAAAACCGTTAAAAGAGTTATATTAAGATACTTATAATATTTGAAATTCCAAATTAATGATCTACGCAATTAAGCTAAGGAGATAAACTAGGGACGAGGAAAAATAAAGTAAACATTTACTTCTGACGTTTTGTTCTTACTGAAGTTTTGTATGACCATGATTTTATAAGCTTATATTAGACATATATCTTATGAATATAAATGTAAATATTTTTAGAAAGCCTTGCATTCCGCGATTTCAAAATTGATGTCATTGTTTACAATTAACATTTGCTATAAACTATTAATAGAATGACTACGAAAAGTTCTGCACGCATAATTTGTGAAGTTAAGGACATAAACATACCGATCTCGACGAGTGCTAGCAAAGCTGCGAGGGTAAATACAACACACCGTCCCATTGTGGAGTTATGAAGTCTTCTTGTGTACACGCGAACTGTCGTAACGAACGATTCAGACTGAACACAAGAATAACTTGCCGCCAACGCGTCGCCGTCAAACGCATTTACACGCGGATTAGGGCGACCATCATTTAGGAATAATTGAAGACACGTAAATTATTTTTTATTATATATATAAGCCAAGATCGGTGGGCCTCTCGGGACACGCTCGGTCTAGCCGCAAACTCTTCAAAACGACCGGTTTTTATTAGAGTCCCGGGCCGATATATGTAATAATTAATCTAGAAAAAAAAAGTAACAACTTCAGGATTTATGTTACGTCACATGTTATGTTGGCTTGGCTGAAATTAAATTACATTAACATTAAATAGTTAAACGTCCGTTTAACTATTCAAGGGTTATAAATCTTAGGAATCTAATTTTTATTTGGAATAATCCGTCTTTGTACTTTGCATGTAATGCAATATTTGAAGGAACTTTAGGTAAAAAATAAAAATCAATTACATAAACTCATTAAGAAGCTTTAAATATTTTATTGACCATTGCCGATAACTGGGCAGTTATTGTGATACTAAGTTTACACAAATTTTATGAGAGCAAACATCTTTTAGATAATTCGCTTTTAAAACTTACAATGTTGTTTATCGTAACTCATAAGCAATAATTATGTTTACTCAAATGAACCTTGACACTAATGATCGAATAATGCTTTCTATTTTCACAAATATTTTAAAACTTGTTACGTTAAAGCATATTAATGATTGTCATCCTAGTTTCCGTAACCGCAAAATAAAAGTAACGCTTTTCACAAGTCTTTGAAAAGGAGTAGGAATGTTTAAAAATTACTCCAACCTGATCAAAACTTCCATAACTAAAATGTTTTTACTTATATTGTAGGGTTGTTAAAATATATTTACGTTTTGTGTGGTAATGAAGCTGTTGTGCAATGTTTAAATAGCTAAGCTAAATTAACTTTAATTAATTTAAAATTTTAATTAGTTCTAGCTTATTAAAGCTAAGATTACCACAATATTAGCTTAATTGTGAAAGTACAAGTCTTATTGGTCGCAAATTGAACTTTTTGTTGAGAGTTATTCTAGTGATAACAGATACAGATACAGAAAAACTTAATTTATTTGTAAAATCTCTAAAAAATGTTGATTGTTAGTAAAATTATTGTATGTAATGTTTAGTGTTATTAGTGTATAGGTCGTATTTCTTCGAGGAACAGCATAATAAACAGCTTAAGATAGTGTAGCTATGAAGTAGGTCGACGTCCCAGCTTAATTACAATTTACAGCTGCGTCAGGGAACGTCTCAGATAACGTACATTCATCATATTGAGTATACTAAGAGCTTAGCTTAGCTTACATATACAATGCGTTGAAAGAATAAGCTAAGATAAGCTTAACCCTTTGAAGCTAAACTTTGTAACGTGTTTATTTTTAATACAGTTATTTATAAACTTTTTAGAAAAGTAAAATACTTCAGCAATATAACATTTAAAGAAAATGCGCTGGTTTTCCTTATATGGAAATCTACAGACTGAAACCGGAAGGCGAATAAACTTAGCGGCTTTTTCGTCAACGGATGGTGGTGTGTGACCTGGACGGAATTACGACATGACTACCACCCATTTGATATCTAGATTTCCAAACGAAGTATTAGAAAATTTAATTGGAAACATTTTGGAACCGGTGGCGATCGAAGTCCAGAAGTGGCTTAGAATTTGGTCTTACTTAAATATAATTGGTTTGACTTAAATATAGTTTATTTAGAGCTGAAATAATAACTTATATGGCATTGTATTGTAAAGTGCTTTCACGATAAAGATTAGTGTCCCATCTGAATAAGGTTAGCATTTTTATTGACGACATCGCGTGAATGTGCTTTCTACTTGGCAGGGATTGGCACGAAGGGTGGATGGAAAATGTCTTGGAAAAACTAAACGCACTAGAGTTTTCCCGGGGTTTTACTCGCATAGAACGTATTGGAAAATAGTTATAAACTCAGATGTATCTTCACCGCCTCTGAAGCTAAATTATTGCATAAACAAGAAGTTATACAAAAAGCGTGACAGTTACCGTAAGAAATAAATAAAAATATTGGATTTCGGATTCAGTCTGTGGATTTCTAAATAGCAAAAGCCGGGCTATATGGCTAGAGGTTTTCACCTTCCCATGCTTTTCCGCTATCATAAAAATATCAAGAACAAAGCAATGAAAACAAATACACCTTTTTTTCTAATTCAACGGTAGGTATACAGACAGAATCGTGGTAGAATTTTGTAATAGTAATTTCGCTAGTAGCACGTTTATCGACTCCACCGAGCAATAAATAATGTGAAATTTCCATGCTTCGTTCATGATTTCTCTGCGATTAGCAGTAACAAATAATTTTTGTATAATATTTTCATGTTTCTCTTTTTATTGCTGGTATTTGATCCAAGGCAATTAGTAAAACACGGAAACATCGTAACAAGGAATAATATAATCTCTTATTACTTATAGGTTATATTTTTAATTATTTTAAACTATATCACAATTTTATAAAACGTATAAAATATGATAATTAATTAGATTACAATAAAATAATTTAAATAAAACACTTTGACGGTTTAAAACAAGATATATATTAGTAGTATTAGTGCAAAGCATCCGAAACGTCGGGTAGTAGTTAATAATTTTCAAATAAGTTAAATATATATCGCGTTTTAAAACACTTTAACGTTTTATTTAAATGTGTTTTACTCGCTTGAACTACAGACAGTATTTAATGAAATCATTTCTTGATACCAAATTCAACAATATTCTTCCGTACTGTCTTCCAATGCTATCATTTGATATATACCTAGCTTAAACTCCTAATTCCATCTATATTAATACTATAAAAAGCTTGTTCGTTTCTTTAAACGCGCTAATCTTAGGAACTACTGGATGGTATTGAAAAATTTGAGAAAGGCTTTAGGCTATATTATAAAACTCACGCAGCGAAGAAATAGTGAAAAATGTAGAGAAAACGTTAAAAATTATACGTCCTTGAGGGCTTCCGTTGCGCTGCGTAAATGGTTCAAGAAACTAAAAAATATGTATGATAGAATGATTCCTCTTTTAATTATCTAAAAACGTGAGCGACATTTAATTGTATTGCTTAGTTTATTAGAAAAATATTCATTTTGTTTCTTAAAATACAGCTCACTGAATAGAAATTGTATATGAATATAAATGTGTATTTTTTAATAAACTTTCATGATGCAATGGAAAATTAATCAATTTGCATGAATAACACGTGTGATTAAGATGGAAAACTGAATGCATCATTGGATTCAGTAACAATGGATAGTTATGTTATAAAGTATGACGTCATATTTTGTTACTCAAAGTATTAATCACTTTTGTTATAGGAAAAGAACTTAAGTATTTATTTAAGTATTGTTTAAGTTAAACTATTGCTTAACCATACCAATACATACTATGTTTTACTGTATTATATAGCAGAGGAGTTTGTTTGTTTGAACCCTCTAATCTCAGGACCTACTGGTTCAAATTGTGTTGGATAGACTTTTTATTGAGGAAGCTTTATGGCTATATATCGTCACGGATCGACCAATATGAGCGAAGAAAATGTGGGGAAAACGGGGAAAACTATTGATCTTTATGAGCTTCCATAGCGTGCGAAAAAGTCATTTTGTGTTAAATAGACCATTTATCGTAATTAATATAATATTTAAAAAATGCGTTTAATTCTTTTTATACTAAGTTTGGAATTAATAACTTTAATAGCCAAAAAACTGTTAGCCTGTTTTAACAGCCATCTAATTCTATCATAGAATATGTTTCTGTGTATATTTGGGGTTGATAATTAGACAGTTGCGGACGTTAACCCCGAACACCGGCAAGGGGATCGAGCAGTGCTTGCTAGGAAGGTTGGCGCCGTCCTTCCTACGGATGTGGGTCGATGTTGTTTATATTCCTCCCTTCTTTGACCTTGTTTCGTGCCCACGGGTTGGCGACCCAATAGCCGTTACGATAGCCAATGTGAAAAAAAGTTTTCCAAAAAGTCTGACGATTCATGATCAGTACTTAATAAGATAAATAAGTGTTAAGTATATTTTTTTTTATTATATTATTATTTTTGGGGCGATTTGTATTTACGAAATTAAAACCATTTGTTAAATACTGTCTGTAGTTTAAGCGAGTAGTACACATTTTAAGTTAAACTTGTTTGAACATTATTTAATATTTAATAATATTATTTAACTACGGCCCGACGTTTCGGATGCTTTTCAGCAGCTGGGACAACAGTTTAACTAAAATATGTCGCGTTTTAAACCGTTAAAGTGTTTTATTTTAATATACTTTTATAACAAAATTGTAGAGTCTATCTTTCAGGGAATTGCAAAAATGTTCCTAAAATATATCTTAAATTGCTTTTACAAGCCCTGTTTATAATCTGAAATATTAAATAAAAAATACACTTATATTGAAATTATTTCTTCAATGTTCAGTTTGTTTGTCCGTTTGTTTGAACGCGCTAATCTCAGGAACTACGGGTTCAAATTGAAAAATTACTTTTGTGTCGGTTAGAGCATTTATCGAGGAAGATTAAAGACACACAAAAAAAATGTAGTAAAGAATAATTCCTCTTTAAATTATCTAAAAAAAACGCGACACTATACTATGTCTATCTTTTAAGATTAACTTGCAAGAATCCGAACGACGAGACGCGACCGATGTCGTGGCTAGCTTAAATTTATAAAGATGTAGAAATTTGCAAAATTGGATGCTTAAAATATCTATTCTACGCGGACGAAGTCGCTGACACAGCTAGTAAGAATTATAAGTCAAACGAGTCTAACCTGTTTTGTTTGCATTGGCACTATATCTTCCGTTTATATAAGTTTGTTTTGGATCCTAGCAAAAGTTATAATTAAATCGGTGATAGAACTATTTTACTCATAGATTTATTTCGGTATTAGTTTATTCTGGTAGCAGTTAGAT